ATGACGGTTTCTGCTTGCAGAGGACCCCGCTGGATGACGGTTTCTGCTTGCAGAGGACCCCGCTGGATTTGAGGACTGGTCTTAAGAGGCTTCTGCTAGAAAGACAAACTAATTGGTGTTGACAGGCTGAGGGGGTTAACTGTTTGTTGTTGTTTGAGAGAAGTTTTTTTGTTTGTTTCTAGCAGACTTATACCTGCTGCCTGGCTGTGGGGCTTTGTCAAATGATGGGGCCACCGTGTTTCACTTGACCTGAGCTCTGTCTTCTAGAGAGTATTCAGATATGACCGGACCATGCCCCTGAATTCCCAGCAAACTTTCCAGCGGATCCACTGCCCCCGGAGAACCGTGTCTGCCCAGACTGTGGCAGGCTTCTCTTTTCATCTGTGCGGATGGGTAACATTCAGCAGGTGAGTCCAGACCGTGGGCTACAATATATATTCAGTGGGGGTTCCTCTTTTCCCTTTGTATTCATTTCTATCTGTCCAGAAATTTAGCAACGGCCTTGTCCATCGTCGCTCCTGATTTGTTTGGTTCAAATGCTGCCGTGTAAAGGCAGGAGGCTGGAATTTGGGGTGGGAAGGGAAAAAGGAGTGGCCCGGCTTGGGAAATTTCTGGCATCATCTCCAGCCTCTGGAACGTTCCCAGATGGTGTTTACCCCCTGGCCGAGGCCTGGCGAGAAGCAGTGTTACAGTGTTTCCCACCTTTCCTGTTAACTGTTCAGAAATGCCTAGAACCAAGGTTCCTTTTACACTTACCTCTTCGGCCATGTAACTGCTTTTCTCCTCCAGCAGAGTGATTACAGAGAGGACAAGGAAAAAACAAAAGCCTTGACGGAATTTCTCATGGGCTCTTCCTCACACGTGGAGATTTTCTTGGGGTCCATATGCTGCTTTGAAAAATAAAAAAAGATCAGGTCTTGAGGCTGCTGACGTACGCTTTGAGTGGCCCACATACCTTTGTGGGGAGAGGTTCCCTTGGTTGACATGGAGTTTGGGGATGTATTATTAATAAATGTTGGTTTCTCGGGAGAAAGAGCTTTCTCTCTTTTAACCCATTGGTTTCCCCTGCGGGGCAGGCCCTGGTCACCGGCACAGGGCGTGGAAAAGGCTAGTGGGATCAGACTGGCATTAGCTTTTGATCCGAGGCAAGCCTTCTGTCCCATTCCCCAGATCCCCCAGATGACGACCCTGAAGGTGGCCACGGGCTGCACAGGTGACCGTCCTCCAGCTGGAGAGGCGAGAGAGGCTATATTGGTGCCCCCTCTGAAATCTCTCTGGTCTCTGAAATTCCAGCTGGCAGACAGCTTTCCCCACGCTATTTCTTTATCTACTGCTCAGCAGGGGTGGGTTTTGCACCCCCTCCCCCATTTAGGCAGTCTCGGGGGACATTTTTGGGTGTGACAATTGGGGCTAGTGCTCCTGGCATCTAGTGGGCAGTGGTCAGGGATGCCGTGAAATGTCCCACGAGGCACAGCAAGGAATCATGCAGCTCAGGGTTTCAGAAACCCTGGTAGAGACAAAGCAAATGTATCTTTCCTGCCGTTTATTCACCGCCTTGAAGTTGGCGATCCTGTCCTGGTGTTTGAACGCATCTGGGATTCTCCGCTAGCCAGGGTCGCTCTTGCGGTGTCAGGAATGTGGTGGGGGAGCACTGGGCGTCAACGCGAAGGAACTCGTTTTACCCACCAGAGTGGTAGATTGCACCCAATTAATAATAATAACGCTCACACGGGATGTTCAAAAGCCCTGTTACCTCCATTCTCTCCTGTGGATCTTACCACAGCGCGGAGGAGGCGCCATTGACATTTTGCAGTGCCTATTTGCGGTAAAATGCAAATACTCGAAATGCAGTCTGCACAAACACAATCCAGGGTGTTCTCACCCGGGCTCACGCTCTTCCTGCCTCGTCAGGCTGAAGTCATTTTATGGAGAATTCTGGGAACGGATCTGTTGTCAGCAGCCTTTCCCCTTTCCCTGCAGCTTGGGTCCCGAGTCGCCTCTCCGGAAAAGCTTCTTTATCTTCGGTGAATTTCAGACACGAGGTAAGCCAGACCTCGTATCTCCAAAGCCTTATCTTTCCAAGAAATATGAACAAGTTTGCCCCCTCTCAACGGGGTTCTGAGCCCGATGGGCCACACGGCGCTGGACGTAGTCGTCTGTAAAGCTTTCGGGGGACAAGGTAACTCGGGAAGAGGTGGATGGCTGGGGGCCACTGTCACCTTCAGAAGGTCATTTCCTCGCCCGCTAGGGAGCAAGGGCCCTTCAGGTGCTGAATGTTGCCTACCTTTGCCTGCCTCCCTCCCCTGATCCGGTCACAACCTGCCCCTGCCCCCTTACTAAGGGCTCGTCCCCCACTGTTAAGGCCCTCCTGCTTTCCAGAAGGGAGGAAGTGGAAGGGGGGGTAGTTAAGCACCCCTTACGGGATTGTGACAGTCTATTGAGCCCTCACTCTGAACTCCGCTCGGCGCTCACCCAGCCCAGTGGGATGTGTGTGAGTAAACCCATTTCAGAGATAAGGAGACTGAGTTGTCGAGCAGTTCAGTGACCTACCTAGGGCCAATAAGCCCCGGACTAGGATTCCACCCTGGATCCATCTGAGTCCAAAGCCCCTATCTACACTGCTAGAAAAAAATGGCTTTTCCAGGAGAGCCCTCATCCATCACATAATAGTCAAGCATGGGAATGATGGTTTTCTTTTCTTTCTTTCTTTCTTTCTTTCTTTCTTTCTTTCTTTCTTTCTTTCATGTTTATTCATTTTTGAGAAAGAGAGAAACAGAGTGCAAGCAGGCGAGGGGCAGAGAGAGAGAGAGGGAGACACAGAATCGGAACCAGGCTCCAGGTTCTGAGCTGTCAGCCCTAAGTCCGACGTGGGGCTTGAACTCACGAGCCGCGGGATCATGACCTGAGCCGAAGTCGGA